AGCTTTACTTTACTCAAGTAAATAGGACTGATTAAACCAATTATCCCACGTGGCTTCCACTTGATTTAAGATAACTCCATCTTTTCTAAGCACAACAGAATGTAAAAGGAAGCCAAGTGCCTAAAAAAGAAACAACATTCTCCATCAGGCTGTGTGAATAGGCTGTCTCAGATATCTCAGTACAAAGGAGATAAAAATGAACAAGGTAAAGCGTCTTGCGTGGCTTCTGTTCAATTAGGAAAGAACCGGCTTTATGGCAGTACCACAAGATTTATTGAGCCTCTGTCTGGATAGAAAGAACAACAATTTTATTTTTAATTCTCTGATTCTTAAAAAACAAAACAAAACAACAACAACAACCACCTTGTCCACTTTTGGATTCGTACAAATAGGGAATCAAAAGGTGAGACCTCATGACCTTTGTGAAGGTATTTATCAATACTATGACATACAGTAAACTATAGTCACCTCAGTGTTCAGTTGCAAATATAAGGTTGAGACTAGAGAGCTCTGCTCTGGAGCTACAGACCTGACCATGTTGCTGCCCAGATGTTTATCAGCAGTCAATGGGCTAATTCTCTCATTTGTTTGTGTGGATGGGAACATAGAATTGGGACTGACCTCCTTAGCAGCCACGTTCCTAAGAGGTAATCACAGAATCATAGAATCACCAAGTTTGGAGAAGACATCCAAGATCATGTAGTCCAACTGTAGCCAGGAGCTGATGTATAGTTTGTTCTTCCTCATGTTAATTTTTCCTTTTCTCCTGTGAGTTAAGACTTTGGGCTTTAGCTGATTTTGGTCCCAGGGATAGCCAAAACTCCCATAAGAAATTTCAGCATGACAAGCATTATTGAACTCCATCTGGAATTCAAAAAACGTTTTCTTCAGTTCAGGTTGAGAATCATGGCTGCGCATCTTGGGTTCAGCTGTGGACTGGATAAAGTGGTGTGACAGAATACAGGAACTACCAAAAACCCTTAGCTTCTTTGGAGAAAAGTGTTCTGGTAGAGACAATACCAAAAGCTGCCTGGACTTTTCTAAGAAATTCAGGATAAAACACAGTATGTGTGACATAAGGCTGAGGGCTTTAGGATCTTACACAAGTGTGTACACTAGTTGTACTGGAAGCTTCCTTTAGGAGGCTTTCCCACACCCTTAGAGAAATCAAGAATGAAGACAATTCCGAGTATATCTTAAACCTTTCTTTGCCACTTGGATTGATGTTTTGACTTTTAAAAAGGTGATGCTAGATCTTCCTTGGAGTTGAATTAAGACACTGAAGGGTTGAAAAGAGAGGCAGAAACACCAGTAAAATTAAAAGTTACAAGTTCCCGTCCTCTCATCTGCATTTAATCAATGAAACCACATGTTCTTTCTGCTTAGACATCCAGCTTTGAAGACAGAGTCCTTAACAGCTTCAGGTTTAACTGTTGCAGCTTTGTTATTCTGGTTTATCTTCCTTTCAGACTTTACTACCAACCTCAGACAGAGTCATTCAATGCAAGTACAGGGGAGAAGGCTGGTGTCACAGTAGGAAATTTAATTTAATGAAAGCACTTGCAGAAATTATTTTGTTTATTGAAAGTATGTAAACTGGTAGTATCAATTACAAGATTGCAAGGAAACAAGTACATAGCTTCCCCCTGCTATTAAGGATGCTGCACTTAAGGTAGTTTGGCAGAACAGTGCAAACATGCTGCTTGAACCCACAGCAACTGTTCAAATCCATCTTTGTTTTAAGTATCAACTTAAAACAGTATTAAACTAATCTTGCTGGTTCTACTTTGTCCTCTCTGACAGTGGTTGACAAAAATCCTTTCAAATGCTGAAAAGTTGCAAGACTGCCTTTTCTGAATTCCAGAATGAATCTGTCTTGGTGGTATTTGAATGTCACAGTGAAGCCAAAGCTAGAAAGGGAAGTTCTATGTACTCTGTCAGCTATGCTCAGCAGAAAGTGAATATAAACCTGGAATATGGAGACCTGGAATATGAATTAAAGTATCCAGATTTTATGGCATACAGGCTTTAATGTAGCTGAAAACGAAAAATGTGAAGAAACTCATGGCAGTTGTTTTACTTCACCAGCAAAAAACATACCTTGTGTTGATAATGCCAAGCTATTTAAGGGAAGAAGATTACCCCAGTCTCTCGATACAACAGTATCACGTGAACAGATTTGCACAAGAGATACAACCTTTCTGTCCATCAGTTCTTGAACTCCCATGGCCATAACATTGAATGAACCATCTTAATCCTCAATTTGAGACCCAAAAAATTTACAATAACTTACTGAAAAGTATCACCTCTTATTCTGTTTCTGGACTGTTTTTGATTAAAATATCATGATTTTCTAAAAAATATAAACTATTTGGAATTACACAATGAAATGTTCTCTGAATTGCAGAAATTATTGAAAATGTCCTTAACGGATATTTGCACCTGGTCACATTAATTATATGAAGGCCTTATGTTTTAATGTTCAAGGCTCACAATTCCTAAGATCAATTTTCTGTAAAGATTCACAGAAAAATACGTAAGATAGATTCAGCACAAATTACAATGCACTTTCCAAAGACTTCTAAAGACTCATGCATGGAAATGCTTCAAAACACAAGGAAAAAAAGAATGCAAATGCATCTCTCCAGTTTTCAGGAATTTCTGCTTCCAAGGCCAAATTCTCTGTTGATGAAAACAAGCGATTTTATTGTACTTGTCCAGCATAGAATACAGTGTACAATGTTTTGACATTTCAAACCAAAGTCTGACTAAGGGCTTACACGGACATTTTAAGAGAAAGGAAAAATAAACTACATAATTTTTAGCACCTTACAGAGGTTTTCTTCATGTTGAGTTTGAATGTAATCTAAGATATGTGAAGAAATATTTTTTTCTTGAAAATGATGCCACAATCCTGCAATGAAATTGAAGAGCATGAGCATTCTTCCTTTCTTAAAAAGCAAACAGACAAACAAACAAAACCCAAAACCACTCTTCTGACCTTCATTCTAATATTGTATGTTAATATGTTAGAACCACATCTAGTCCTTTCTCAAAAAAACCCTGGTGTTTGTGTTTTTAGTATAACAGTATAAAACAGACTCTACTGTATTACTTTGGTATTATGATGGTATTTTAATTTTAATAATAATGATACATAATTTACTTTTTACTTTATATTCAGGAAGGAATTGAATTTATTTGTGCTAGGATGCAAGACAATGCGCTTTACTTCAAGAGAAGACAAATGACTAAAGCTTTATTATAAAAGTAGAGGTTTGAGAAACTAGTAGAAAATGATTTTCTACTAGTTTCATTTCATACAGTCACGGATTCCTTTCCCATGTATGAAACTCCATGGCTGTGGTTCTACTCTAATGCCTTTGAAGTTAATGGAAAATTTCCCATTAGTTTCAGCTGGCTCTTTGTTTTATTTTCAGAAGTATTTTTTAAAGTTTTCCATTTCTAAGTTCCCATGATTTAACCTTGGGTGTGATCTTGAAAGAATTTTTATGCACATGAGTAGGCAGAAATATTGAAGTCAGTGAGCCTGGAGGTCTGGACCCAACATCACCTCTTACAGTGCCATATTCTGCTAACTGCACAGACTGCCAATCACAACACTTGATTTCTTCATTCCACTTTACAATTCAGGATACATATCTCCGCAGCTTATGCAACAGTTATATCGCTAACGATGGCAGCTCAATAAAAACAATTAATACTTTATGAAATGACAAAGAGATAAAATTGCAACAGAATACTTTCAATATATTGAGAAAAATAAAAGACTAACTTCACCTACTTTCTTCGGACTCTTTTGAATGACTTCAAATGTAATAAACTTCATCTGTGGGGAAAAAACCTTCAGAAACTTTGATTTCCATGAAGGCAGTTGATTCTGACATGTAATTATTGCTGTATCAAGGGATTTTTTTAATCTCTGAGTAATAAACAAATATTCAAGTGTCTAATTCAGTTTTCAAAGTCTCATCTGATGATGCAGTGTACCATCATGCACTGTGCAAAATCTAACAGCTACAGTTTGATTTAATTTGAAGCAAAAATAAAAATATGGCTGCATGTTACAGCAGCTCTGCTAATGTTCCTAGGCCAACATCTTAACTCATTCCAGCAGCTGTTCTTTTTCACTTTTATCCCCACATCTTTCAATAAGATCAGTATCATTTTATTTGTCATCAGCCAAATTTTCTAAAGTGTTTTTTCTCCTTCTTAAGCAATAGATCATTGCTAACAGTGAAGTGCTGAGGAAGAACCCAAATGGAACAGTGTACTGAATATTTTTTGTTCCGCAAAAAGCACCCCCTCTGCCTTCAATCTCTATTTTATTCTCTTTCCCTTTTTTTCTGAGTTTATTCTACGTTCTTTCTCTCCTGTCTTCCCAGTTCCTCAGGTGGAGCACGGTCCTGTACAGGGGATTTCTGTGGATTACAGTGATAGCGAACTGGTTTCTGACTGCTGCTCTCCTCCTTCTGTGACTCTTATTATACAGATGGTATCTGGATTTTTGAAAGGACTGTATTTGGCTAGAAACTGAATACTTCTTTGATTCTTAATAGTTCAAAACACAATTTCTAAGGATTTTTATTCTTAAATAATTGATGTAACTGTATGTAATTGAATGGAAAAAAATAATTCAAGTAATTGTAATTAAGTAATTGAATGTTCAGTAGATATAAGTTCCCCTTAGCTTTTTGAACTGAACTTTTTTTTCCTTTAGTGTGCTGACGTTTTTCTGAAATGGTACCAATGAAAAGAGCATAGAAAAGAAATACATTCTTGTTACAGGTTGTATGGGAACTACTGAATCACGGTCTGAACCTCTGATTGATCACCTGAGGCAAGCAATGAGTCAGCTGTGGGAGCACAGGTGAAGGCAATTCACATGTGTGACCAGAAGGGGTGGAGCCTGGCTCCACCTCTCCTAGACCTCATTTAAGGGCTGACTGCCACCAAGGAAGGATCTTTCTCTGGAGGTTGCTCCTCTGAGAATTTTCTTCTGTGAGCCCAGGGCATGGGTAAGCTTTTCCATTCATTTCTGGTTGTCCCTTTCCAATATGATAATCTTTGCAGCTATATGGTCTCTAAAGACCAGCCTAACCTGGTACACTTGTCTGTCATACACAGGTCTTGGTCTTCCATACTAAATAAATGGATTTAAGAGCATCTAGGCTCTGCTCATAGGAGATAATAACATTTAGCACTTACAGTGAACGTATAGAGATTTTCATCTCTTAAGTACAGTAGAAACATTAAGTAATGAGCCTCCACTCTAATAGAAAAACACAAAACGGATAATTAAGAAAATAATAAACATTTTAAAAAAAATGTAAAAATCCAGCTAGGCCAGTTCATTAAGCTCAGTTGTACTTGATTTCTATTGTAAATATAATATCAAGAAGATACCTCTCTACTGAGAGCCAAATGTGCCAAGAATCTCTTGACCTACTGATTCTGAGTACTTGTTTAAAATACGTCTTTTAAATTAAGTGTTTGGGTTGGGGATGCTAGACAAACCAAAGAAAGAGTACTGGATACCTGCGAAGTAGGCAGTGCATAACATACTTTGTGTATAGTAAGTGAACAAATGCATTATGAATGGAAATTAAACATAATTTAAGTGTTAATGTTTATCACAAAAGACTGCAGAAGTGAAGTTTGGGAATCAGGAATGAAATAGTCATTAAGGACTCAAAAAGACATATCCTGTGGTTAAAAGTAAAATGCCTTCAAGCAGAATTCTACACACAACTATGATTGGGATCAATGTTGTAATATGTAAAACAGAAAAAATGAGATGTACATAAATAAGACCTCTAACCAGTACAAAAGAATTCTAGATATAAGCAACATATGAATTTGTGACAATATACCACGTAACGTAGTACTCTTATTACCTCCAGAGGTTCAAAGACATGAAATAAACTGTTTGATTGTCATGTATTCAGTTTCAGGATTTTAATGCGAGAGACAAAAAGATATTTATCCATTTCTCCTTGACAAATAATTTAGAGGTGCTAGCGAACAATTACAAAGAAGAGAGGAAGTGAATGAATCTTATTCTCTTTTTCCCTGGCAACATTCTCCTGTGTTCCTTGCACCAGCATAATCTCTCACGAATGTACTTGGTATGGATAAAAAACATGTTTTGAGTTATACTCGTTGTCAGCTTAAGGTTCAAAAGTAAATGTTTTCCCACTCCCAGCAGTTTTTGGAGATAAATATTTGCATTATTTGTCATCCTACATGGTGTCAGTAGCTTCACTTCTGTGATACCATGGGAGTACCTGTAAAAAAATCCACCGCTTTTACAGTCTTTGCTTTTACTATTCCATGTTACTCCTGCTGCCCAAATTGTTGTGTTTGTCTTCAACAGTATTTTCTTGCCTGAAGCATATGATAGTAGGCAGAAAAAAATGATATGAACTAATTATTGAATGATTGCAAAGCTCCTTCCAATTTTTTTTTTTACCAATACTAAAGATACTAGTGCAGAATCAGTATTTTCCTCGCATATTTTCCAAACAAAATAGGCATACAGTGCTGCCACAAAAGACTTGTAAATCCCAGGTTCTCAGATGATCTCTGCTCTGTGATAATGCCTTCTCTGTTGTTCTAAGGTAGCTCTGGTACTTGCAAAATTTAGAGGCACTTCAGATTGCTCTAAGCTCTTCTGGCTAGTAGCAACCTCCACACAGTTATTTGCCATCTGAGAACAATTGTAAGCAGATGCCAAGCAGCTGCCTCTAGTAAACAGTTGGCTCTGGCCCATCTGACCCCCAGGAAAACTAATTTTTTGTGGCCAGGCTAGTGACAGAATTATCAACTAAGAATAAGCATTACTACTTATACTACTTATTCTACTTATTCTAGAAGAGCAAAGTTGGATTGTGAGACAAATTCTGAACATTTCTCTGAAGGGTAAACAATATATACATTAAAAATTATTGAAGTATTTAGTATTTTCCATACAAAGAATCATTCAATGGCTTCTACATTGTCATCTGAAATTTGATCTTGATAACAATGCAAACTTTCCCCACATTAACAGTGGACAAGTAACTTTCTTCTTCCCCACATTTTTTGCCATTAGAAAAGGTGATGAAGCTGGTGATGAAGTGGGTACCTAGGCTCTGATTCTCATGAGCTCCTTGGAGGGACAAATCCCTATTGAACAGTTTCTTTCAAGTCCATGAAGCTTGCTGAAGGAGAATTACTCTAGCCTCTTGGTTATGCAGGAGTTCCTACTTCATTTCCTTCATTGACAGAAACAGCAGAATAAAGGTAAGACCATGTATTAAAAAGTGGGGCTTTATGGAGAAAGCTTGAGTGTGTCCTCAGTTTCTTTTATGAGCTACAAAGCACACCTAATTCCTCTTGGACTAAAAGGGTAGAAAGCTGTACACGTATCTTTGAAGACTCTGGCCTCTAACTGTTGTGGCTACTCTGAAAAGGGCTCTCTTCTGACTAATATCAGACACCTGCTGTACATAGCAGAGATGAAAGTTTCTGAAGGAAGAGCTAACAATAATCCTTCATAAAGGAATTGCCAACATAGATTTAGAATTTGAAAGCAGTTCCAATTGTAATAATGAGTCAAAAGCCAGATTAGAATAATGGGTGTGGAAAATAAAATTTTCTAATTTTATTTAAGAAAACGTTAGAGGTAACAAATACTATGACTATATTCCAAAAACAACTTTATACATCTTAATGAAATCCTTTGATTTCAGTTATATACTCCCAGCAATATTAACTTTTGGATGTTTTCTAAATGCCAAATTATTACTCTAATCATTTAGATACTGCAATTATATAAAGAAACAAGATTTTTATCTAAGAATGTAAAAAATAATGAAACATCAGTACGGCAGTCAAGCCCTGAGTGCTATCAGGAAGTTCATCAGATCAAGAGCTGTTAACATGGCATGCATCAGAGCAACACTTGATTTATATGTCTTTTTACATTTAAAAGCATACTATAAGCATTAATAACTCACCAAACATTCTGTAATATTACAGAAAAATGAAGTGAAAAATGAAGAAATGTATTTTGAAATTCTGAGAAGACATAGGTGGCTTGATTTCTAGTAGGATTTTTGATAATCTTTACTAGATTAGTATTTATTTTCCAGCAGTGCATATTTTCTGGTGAGAAAACCTGAATCAAAAACATTGAACAGGTTTGTACTGCACTGTTATCATTAGAAATAAAATTTAAAAATTGTTCAGACATGGCCAATATTCTCATTGTTTATATAAACCACAATCTTCTTTTTCCTGCTGTGGGATAGGCCTGAGGGTTGATCCTGTCTCACACTTTCCTCATAGAGTGCAGATAATCAGCTACTGTACTTCTTCTCCGATAGGTTTCCACAGTCCACCTCTGGGACCAGGCAGAAAGAAAAGGTGGATCTGGAAGCATTCAGATTTGGATTTGGTCTTCTTACTGGGTATGATTTTTGGCAACAAGGTGCTGTAGCCATGTTCACATGGTCAGGTCCGAGTGTCATAGCTGGCACTGACAGATAAAGTAATTTTAACCAAATACTACTTGTGAAAACAATATTTATTTTATTAAAGCTGAAATTAAATGTCTTGAAAAATATCAAGAATTCTATTTGCAATGACCATTAAAGACGACAAAATATATTTAAACTAAAATCTTTAACATAGTTCTCCTTGTCACAGATTATTTGGAGAACCAATAGAAAATAATCAGGAGTTAGTACTAGGACAGTGTAGATTTGCCTGAAAGCGGTAGGGGTCAAATGCAATTAGCCCTAGCTTCTACATTAAAGTCAGACAGATCAATATTAGTTTCTGCATGATCTACTTCTAGATTCAGCCTGGAAATACTGGCCAGGAAAAAAAACAAAACAAAACAAAAAACAGTCTGTAGATGTGGTATTAATATCATTATAAGGAATTGTTTCGTTTAACAACTTGTAATAGGCTACAATAACCCTCAAACTTTAGCATATTATTTCAAATCCATCTCAGCTGGATCCAAACATTATTGCCAGCTGATAGCAGATTTGTATAAAATAAGTAAGCATATTCCAGCACGGTTAGTTATGTCTGGGCAGGTGTGACAGTAAAAATCACAGTTCTCATTTGCAGAAACTAGCCCCTCACGAGGCCAAAAAAAGCCAGTAAGCATGGAGATAAAATTAGCCACTTATTCACAGAAAGCTCTCTCTGGGCTACACTGAGGGATAGATATACATCATACGTATGTGTGAAAGGAGGCTAGAAATATTCATTGCTCATACTGCTATATTTCCTCTCCGACTTCCACTGTTCAAGGTTTTCAATCTGGTAAACGAGCAATACATTAGTTAATCACTGAAAAAAGGGTAAAACCAAGCATTTTTCACCCTCTAAAATGATAAGATGGGTAAATATAAAGCAACGTTTAAGTATCTTAGTATGGTTTCTATTTTGTATTAAAAAAGAAAGCCATTTAAATGTATTTATTCTTATCCCTCTTAATACAGTATCAAACAAAAATCAATCGCATTATTTCCCCTTCAAAAAACAAACAAACAAAAAAGAATCCTAATGGAAAAATTACAATGTGCTGCACACAGATTTACCTATGATCTCCATTAACTTTAAGGGAAACCCTCAGCCTAAATCCCCAAGCCCTGCAGCAAACATTTACTCCTTCTAATTTAGGAAAGAACTGAAGAAATGAGGGAATGAGATCTAAAAAAATGAAAAAAAAAAAAAAAAAATCAGTAGAAATCAAATAGTAACTGCTGTTGCAATAGGAGAAGCAGAAACACTGCAGAAATGTTCAGCTTTCAAAATAATAGTGTTCTTGGATTCCAGCAGAGTTCTCAAAAGTTAAAAGAGCTGGTGTGAGAAGTCTGAGTATCTTAGGAAGTCAAGTAGCCTATCATCACCTCCACGAATAGTAGCATAACAAGATGGTACCGGATAGATAACTTTTATTAATATAAATTAAAAAAATTAAAATTAAAATATTCTTTAAAATATTATTTTGTGGTGATGAATCAAGTGGTACTTTCTGTTTGTATCCTGTATTTTTTTATTGGATAATTGGCCTAGAATGAAATTTGTCTGTTTTTGTTTCAGCAAAGGGAACATGGTAGAAGATATGTACGAACAACTTATGATTTTACATGCAAATGTCAAAATAATATTGCAAACAAGATGAACTCCAGCTGTATCTTACTCTACATTTGATATAATTTTGCTGCCTATCTAGTGGGTGGCAGCCCTGTATACAACACTGTGGTTATATCTGTTACTCTGGGACACTGTGTTTGTTATTTTTATATCCATTTGAGTCTACTGATTCTTGATGCATGAGGAAATACACCTAACTATATATATGACTGAAGGTAAAGAAGACAGCTAGAATAGATACAGAGTAAGTCAAGTCTTCTTGTGTTGCAAGAAAACCAAACTGTTTGGAGTGTCAATTCAAAACTTAAACTTCTGAACACTACAAACTGAAGCAGGAGCAGAAAGCAAGGTGTAGTTAGTAGTGGAGACCAGAACGTTGGCCATATCTGAGTTTCCTAGTGTAGAATCACAACTCTAATCACAATTCAGAGAACAGTGTTTTAAGTTAAATTAATGTTTACTTTTAATTCTTCCTGTTCAACTCCTTAAAAAATGGGACTTTTTCTAGAGTACATGGTAAATTAAAACTTTTGTTCATTTTATTTTTCCCCTGCTTATTTACCCTGCTCTCCATCACAGCTTTGCCTTGAGTACAAAATACTTTTTTCACATCATATACTGGAGATGTCCAGCCACACTAAGGGAGTCTGATTAAACTTATTTTCTTGTCTGTCTTTCAAATGGTTATTTCATTTAATAACCGTATTTAATTTGCATTTAATTTCTGCAGCACTCTATAGCATCAAAATAACATTTATTTGTCTGAAATATAATACAGCTCCAATCACGATGTGTGCAAGAAACACAGTATATGAATGCATGTACATGGATGCATACATATGTGTCTCTTTTCCTGAGAAGTTTTTTTTTCTTTCTCTTAAATCTGTTCCAAACTTACCTAGAGGAATGTTACTGAATGGGTTAAAGACATAATATTAATGTTATACCACACTGATGTCAGCAATTTATAACGGGATGGTGGGTTCCACTGCCAGAAGCTATAGCACAGGAAAGAGTGTTATTATAACAGCATGATTCTCTATGAAAGCCTGTCATCTTCTGTTCTTGAACCTTTGCTAATGTACTACGGCGATGTGCCCAGATAGAAAATGAATGTTTTTCAGCGTAATGTGGTGGCTATTAATACAGTTACTACTATACAATAAATGGCTGCTACTGCTTGCCATCTTTTTAAATTCACAGAGACATTGGAATCTCTTGAGACACCATTGTTTCTAAAGGGCCACATACTTTATTCCTTATTCAGATGAAGCTCTTAATAACTTAGCTCAGTAGGAACTTTCCTTTTAAGAATTTTAAGCTCTTGAGACCAACTGGGTACAAATACCACACTGTGTCAGACCACATTCAGTGTGATTGACACAGCATAATGCAACACATGAGTTTGAATTTTTATGCTTGCTGTTCTCATACTTGCATAGTCTTCTAACAGTGGGGACAATACCAGCATCCAGTGCATGCTCAGCAGCATAAAAACAGAAAATGTGAATATTATCACTAGCCTACCATTACATTTGACTGACTACCTTGACAACTCACAGTAGATAAACAAAAGTTTTAACACTTGTTTAACTATTCCCAGAAATTTCTTTATTCAGCTACCACTTTCATAAATCAGTTATCAGTGTATTCATGATTTCCTTGCTTCTCCTTCAGACCTAAAGGGAAACTTTCAGTCTTGTAAAGAAATTCTGTGCAAAGCATTTAATAGTCACGGATACTTTTGATTAGAATGATGAATTCTTGAAACATCACCAAGGACTATGTAGCTAATTGTCCAAGGACAGTTTTACCTGGTTGTTTGTAGCTTATATACTAAGCAAATTATCAACAATGTTTATTCTTGGAAAGATAATTTCACCAATGCTGTTAATCAAGACAGAAATCTGAGTCACAAAGATTAGTAGATGCATCTTGATCATGCCAGTCACAGGAGGCAGCTAGGTCACCAATGCAAACATGACAGTCTGAGGCACCAGGTCACTCAGAGCATCACCTCAGCAAGCAGGGAGAGCAAGAAAATTTTATGGAATAAGTAAAATTTATACAGAAAATACATACAAATAAATATTTGTGTCTCTGCATTTGAATTTCCTATCTGTAAAAGTTAAATACTTCTTTAAAGTTTAAAACAAACAAACAAAAAAAGTAGCTGTTAATGTCTTTTATACCAAAACTAAAACTTGTGGTGCGTATACATTACTGTTCACAATTGAAGTAATGCTACAGTAGCTATAAAACTGGTTACTGTTAATATTTACTCAAGAATAATTTACTTTCAGAAAGTTTACCACCTACTTTTCATGTGATTTGTTGTCTTCATTCACCCTGAACTATTTACCTGTCAAAAACACATTAAGCAAAACTTGAAAATTCGCTGGAAAATGCAGAATTGAAGTTTTATTTTCCTTATAAAAGGGGGTGGGAGGAGGTAAGCAACCAAAGACAAACATCCTGGAAACTGTCTCACTGTTGGAAATAAAAATTGAAGAGACTTTAGATGATGTTGAACAAAATCTCAGCAGAGAAAACTACTAATAACAGAAACAGGTAGCCTACTCATCCAAGCACAAAACTGCAATTTGTATGAGCGCTTGCTGTAGAACTAGAGGAGACATCCTGGGTCAGTGAATCCAATTCTCCACTATCGTAAGTAATCATGTCATATAATCCCATTCATTTCATTTGAGCTCCATCTTAAAACCCTTTTTATGAATTTGCAGAATAAATGCATTCATAGCTAGTTTATATTCATTTGTTCTTGTGTAACCTTGTCCTTTAGCAAAAATAGCTCATCCTCCTCCCTCCCCCTCATTTATTTATAGAAAGCAATCACACATATTCTCAGCTATTATTTTGCTTGTCTAAGTCCAGCTCTTTCAGTACCCTCATGTATTATATGTTCTTCATTCCCCTAATTACCAATCAAGTTTGTTTCTGTACCTGCTCCAGTTCAAACAGCTTTATTTTTTAAATACTTGCTACACTGTTCCTTCTTTTAACCAGCAAGGTTTCATTAAATACGAGAAAAACTTCATACATTCTAAGATGTATTAGATGTATTCTCTCTCTTCCTCTCCTTTCCTTTCTCTCTCTTCTTCTATTTGCTATGGCCAGGTCAAACAAGTTTTCTGCCATTGACTCATGAAAATTCTAGTAAGAAAAGAGTGTAGCATAGGTAATGCTTATGTGCAAGTGCATATGTGTATATATGTGTGCATATACTGCAAGATTCTGACTAAAAAATTGTTTCATATTGACAATAGATGTCATAGACAAAAGGAGGGAGAAAGAGGGCAAGCCAGACCAGTCAAAAGCAGTTCACTTCAGAAAATCATAGGGACTGAAACATTAGAGAGATCCCAAACTCTAATTGTTCACATATTTGTAAAGAAGTTTATTAGTTTCTATGCAGTTCCTGAGTAATTAACAATTATCTTATTCACTCACTCACAGGGCCACATATCCTCATATCCATAAAATATTTTATGTCTTATAACTAGGGATGTCTCATTACCCATACAAATATCTAATTATTAACCCTAATTATAAATATTTGTCTTTCTGGATGTAGCAGCGAGTTCAGTGGGATACCATTTAGCTGTAGAGAATGTAATCTCTTTATTAAATATTTGTCTATTTTTTATGATATTATCTGTGTAGGCTTTTATTTTGATAAAATGAAAAGAGTATTTTTAAATATTCATTTTAATTTCTCTACCTACATAATTTCCATATTATGTTTTGAAGAAACCTTCTGGGATTGGTCAGTACTCTTAAACAAAGAGGATCAAAAGTTAAATGACTTGAACAAGTAGGCTTAATGAGTCACTGGCAGAGCCAGATGGATTAAGACATAGCAGTGGATGGAATTGTTTGAAGTTAGTACAAAGTTGTTCCCACTGCTTTCTGCAGAGACAGAATTCCACTGCAGTTTCTATAATACACTTCTTCCTTCTCTAATCACTAAAGAACAGTTTTACTAAATGGCTCTTCAGTTACTAACATTTTAAAGGGTGCTTTGTTAGTGGTGCTAGTAATAGTTTTTGCCCTCAAAAGTACTTGATTTCCCATGATTTCACAGCAATGGTCATCATTCAATATTTCAGTAATAAAAGTTAAGGTAAGTACCACGATTTAAAGCTCAGTGACACTACAATCCCCTTCAAAATACTCCAGCATAGTATTAAAGATACAGGGAATGAAAATAAGAGTGTACTATCAAAAGTGAATCAAGTAAACACTAAATAAAATGTGTATAAAAAGATAGATATAATTTTAGGCTATTTTCACCAAAGAGCATAATGATAATATAGCTACTTACATACTCGATCTAGAAATGATTTAACAAAATTTGTTAAATTGAAGACAGTGATATTGCAATCTCTACATTTTTTGCTAACGTGGAGGTATGAATCCTACAGTAAGAATCCTGATTTTTCCTTTTGTTATACTAAATGATCAAATCCAGTTAATTAACTTATTTTAAGTAACAGGAAACTTTCTTTATGTCATCTGTACCAGCCCCAAGACTGCAGGCATATTTTCAACACTAATGCATCAGCACTTTGTCAAAGTTAATCTTATTTGTGCCTAGAAATGAGGCTTCCATAATTTTGTGGAGACCACATTATATATTTTGCTTTTAAAAACTTCATCCTGATATTTTACTTATTTGAAACAATAGCTAAAAGAATAAACATGACTTTCAAACTACTGAGGCATGTATTTTAAAGAATATTCAGCATATCTAACAGATTTTTACAAGCTAGTCTGAGCTGAATGACTTAAGAAGTCTATTAGCCTGTGAAGAGTTCAGGACTGAGTCACACAAAATGTAAGATGGGGCACATGGTTTTATAAATTTTCTTTAAACTTCAAGGTGATTTTATGTTTGGGTTTTACTTGTTTTGTTTGTTTTGCTTTGTTTTTCACCTGACACAAACTAACATGCAGCACTGAGTCTAAATTACATATAGAAATGGTAGATGTTAGTTTACTCCAGGTATCTGTATAGAGCCTTTTCTTTGGCTTTACAGTGTTACAGCACTCAATGCACATCTTATCACAAAATCACAGAATGGCCAGGGTTGGAAGGGACCGCAAAGATCATGAATCTCCAACCCCCCTGCCACATGCAGGGCCACCAACCTCCTCATCTAATGCTAGACCAGGCTGCCCAGGGGCCCATCCAATCTGGCCTTGAACACTTCCAGGGACGGGGCATCCACAACCTCTCTGGGCAGCCTGTTCCAGTACCTCACCACTCTCTCTGTAAAGAATTTCCCCCTGACGTCCAACCTAAATCTTCCCTCCCTCAACTTAAAACCATTTCCCCTCGTCCTGCAGTTATCTACCCTTTCAAAGAGTTGATTCCCTTCCCCTCTGTAGGCTCCCTTTAGGTACTGAAAGGCTGCAATGAGGTCTCCCCACAGCCTTCTTTTCTCCAGGCTGAACAAGCCCAGCTCCCTCACCTGTCTTCATAGGGGAAGTGCTCCAGTCCCCTGATCATCTTCGTGGCTCTCCTCTGGACCCTCTCCAACAGCTCCATCTTTTTTGTACTGGGGGCTCCACACTTGGACGCAGTACTCCAGATGGGGCCTCACAAGAGCAGAGTAGAGGGGGACAATCACCTCTCTGTCCCTGCTGGCCACCCCTCTTTTGATGGAGCCCAGGATAGCATTTGCCTTCCAAGCTGCAAGGGCACACTGCTGGCTCATATTAAGTTTTTCATCTATCAAGACCCCCAGGTCCTTCTCCACAGGGCTGCTCTCAAGGACCGCTCCTTCCAGTCTGTATGGATGCCTGGGATTCCTCCAGCCCAAGTGCAAAACTCTGCACTTTGCTGTGTTGAACCTCATCAGGTTCACCCGGGCCCACCTTTCTAGCCTCTCGAGGTCCCTCTGAAGGCATCCCCTCCTTCAACCGTGTTGACTGCACCAGTCAGCTTGGTGTCATCAGCAAACTTGCTGAGGGTGCACTCGATTCCGTTATCGATGTCATTGATAAAGATGTTAAAGAGCACTGGTCCCAAAACAGACTCTTGGGGGACGCTGCTCGTTACTGGCCTCCACCTGGACATAGAGCCATTGATGACCACCCTCTGTCTGTGGCCTTTCAACCAGTTTCTTATCCATCAAGTGGTCCACCCAGCAAATGAGCATCCCTCCAATTTGGAGATAAGTAAGTGGACATGGTAATTTCAGCCCACTAGAATCATGCTCGCTATTACATCACAGCAGTTTCTCTCCAGGAACAAGTTTGGACAGGGAAATTAAGATATATAAGAAAAACTGCTTAAGTGAGGTTGTGAAAGTACACCAATAAGCATTATCTACTTGCAAAATGAATTAGGGAAGTTTTAGTACAGAGATTATGTTGTGTAATTCAAGCAAAGCAAGACACACCAAAAGCAATCCTTTGGAAAACAAAACAAAACAAAACTACAATTCTTCCAATGTCTTTAGAAGGAAACTGTTTTTGAATGACCCTATTTTGCCACTATTTCATTTAATAATTCATATCAACATTTACCAAGAGAGATTCTTACTGAATACCAGGGAAGCTGCTGCTCATTCTTATGACTTCTGTGACTTGTTGCTGATGTTTTTCTAGACTGTACTGGTAATACTGGTACAATTAAACACAAATTTTGATTTTTAGGAAGGGGAAATTTCATTTCAAATTGCCTCAGATTTATATTTTAAATCATATTAAATTTGAAGTTAAATATCTCACAAAAAACCCTGACAGTGTAGTGGGTGATACTTCTTGTTTCCTCAACTGAAGATAGCTGCAAGCTATGTCAGTTTAAATACATGTGGAGACCCTGAAAATCACTTATTATGTTCAAAACCTATTGACTGGAATTTAAAGCATTCAGAATTTCATAGAACTTGGTCTCAGCTGTGGAAATGGTCTTGTACATTACATGAGTATGGCTGTAGGATTCTTAAGCTTTGGAGAAAAAAATATCTTACATATTGCTAAACAAAAGTTATGTGAATTAAATTCTGCTTAGGAAAAATAGTTCATATGCA